AAAAGACAAAACCTCAAATTCCAGTCAGAGATGATGAGCATCATCACAGTGATGATCATTTCTCTGTTAACGCAGGCTTTCTGCTTCAGGATCTGTGCACGCTTACATAACAAGGAGCACTTTAAAAATCATTTCACTCATTTCACTAAATGGATGGACTGAGCACGGCCTAAAGATGAACGGGTGCCAGAGATCATAAAGAACATCAAATAAAACAGTCATATTCAACACTTTAGATGGAATTATATGATGAATGCTGAGACAATCATTAACCTGCTGAATTCATGAACATCAAGAATGCAGTGATTGGTAAAATAAATATTTGAACTCAGTGTGCTCAATGTTACTGTCTATTCCTAACATATTCCTAACACAATAGCTGCACTTTAGCTCTAAAAATGTAACTCACACTTATGAGCCCATAACCAAACAATAACAGAGAACACTTGCCAAACAACCAAAATCCATAAACACAGAATCCAAAACTTCTGAATCCTAGGAGGAGGAAATAAAAAAAAAAAGAAAAAAGTCCAGCGACCGGTCATATGAAGCGAGAAACAGTCCAAACTCCCATATAGAATGTGGCCAGGGGCAGAGAAACCCTCACCACAAGGTGATGGGTCAACCCCGAACGCGACGGCACACTAGTCTACAACTGAGAAGATCCAGAGGCCAAACTGTGGGCCGACAGTAGAAGAGTTCATAGTATAGAGCAGGGGGCGGGAACCTGCGGCTCCGGGGGCTGCATGCGACTCTTTAGTCCTTATATTCCGGCTCTGCATGGTTTGGAAAAATAGATTATAAGTATTTAACTGAAGTGTATTTTATTTGTGTTAGTTCTTTTTAAAAACTTTTAGTTCTAAATTGGAAGATTATTTTTGTATTTCAAGATCAGAATAAAGTTCGATTTTATTATTTTTAGTCGCTCTAAATAAGCGTCACACTCGTGAAAGCCGGTATACCCACCGAAACGACGTGCATTTACCGAGACTTTCAGCCGCAGGTAGGCCAAGTATGGAGAAATGTAAGAAAAGAAAAATATGTGAAGAAAATACAACATTTAATGCTGCCTGGGCAGCTTCATTTGTATTTACTTGTGACGAGAGTGGCCTGCCAGTATGCCTAATTTGTGGAGTGTCGGTATTCGGATCCACATACATATGTGAGCAGCTATTCTCCACTATGAACTATGTTAAAAACAAACACCGCTCACGTCTCACAGATGACAGCTTACAGTCCTAAATAAAGATGAAAGTGACTTCGTACAGCCCCGATTGTACAGCAGACGCATTGTGCAGAGGTTCAGGAGCAGAAGTCCGATTGTAAACATATCACGGCAGACCCGACGATGTTTACATGAACATGCTCTTCAGCATGTCTTTATTGACCACTTTTCACACACACAGCCGGCTGTAGCTTTCCAGCTCACAGCCCGACATATACAAACAACAGCAAAAAGAGCAAGCTGGTGAGGCATGATTGCGGATGACACTCAGGTACGTCTGCCTCTCCTGGAGCGGCACTACGGGCCATGCCCCACAAAGCACGTTAACCAGGTAAAATAAATATTATGCAGATATTTTGAAAATATTTATTTTTATTTTTTTAGGAGCATAGTGCTTTTTCCAATTATTTTTTAAATTCTGGCCAGTAGGTGATATAAGGACGATGGCTCACTGTTTTTTGTTTTGTTTTTTTGCTACATGGATAAGTTCAGCTTTTTAATTCATTTAAAAGAGACCTTCAAGTGGTTGACTTTCTTTTTTGTTATTATTTTTTAAGGGTTGAAAATGTGTTCATTACATGAATAAAATTAGTTAATTAATTTTCTCCGTAGCACATCATGGATTTCATAACCAACACACTATAGTTGTTTATACAAAGCATAAGGTTAAAAAAAAATATACACAGTGTTATCTTCATTTTAGATATCAAAAAGTATTTGCGGCTCCCAGTGTTTTCTTTTCCGTAGAAACCGGGTCCAAATGGCTCTTTGGATGTTAAAGGTTGCCTACTCCTGGTCTAGAGGTTCCAAGGGGTCGGCCAGGAAGGCAATAGCGTGGGAACATCAGGCGAAAAAGTTCAGAGGGCTGGCCACGTGGAAAGCAGCTGCCACACAACAATTGAGGAGGTCATCCGCAAAGCCAGTATTGGCGATGAAGCAGCTCTGGAGGCCGACCGCAAAATCAGTGGTGGCGACGGACACTAAACTTGACTGCAGGCCGACCACGAAGCAAGTGTTGGCGACAGAGCAGGTCCATTTTGATTGTCCGTGCTGGCGAAGACGTCCAGTCAGTGGCGTGGAAGGTGGCCACCAACGCAAACCAGACGTGGAGGAGGTTGAGGAGGCTCAGGCGGATGTGGATGAGGTGGTGGCGTGGCAGCTGCAGGACCAAATGAGGCAGGACCAGACGAAGGATGACCAGATGAGGCAAGACCAGATGATGGTGTCAGCTGACATGAGGTGCTGGAGCGGACCCTCGGATCCCCCAGCAGGAACTGAAGATGGCCGGAATGGGTCCTTGGACCATCCAGTGGAGGCAGACGGCTAAATGGGCACCTTGGATGCTCCAGCGAAGGCAGACAGCTACTGAACGGGCCCCTCGGACCCTCCAGTGGAGACAGACTGCTGTACGTGTCCCTCGGACCCTGCAGCGGACACTAAGAAGTGCTGGCTGAGCTCCCCAAGAGCCCCAGCAGGAACAGATGGCTGATCTGATGGTTGAATTAATGGGGGAGTTATGTACTGGAAAGAAGGCTGAATAGAAAACTGCGCTACAGGCTGAGCAGGTGACCGCGCTATAGGCTGAGCTGGTAAAGCAGATGGCTGAAGCAAATGTAGAGTTGGTGGTGGTGTAGGTTTTCCCGATTCCCCTGAACCTGAGTTAACCAGCTGGATGGTCTCAGCAGAGCCTCCAGTGAAGATTGACATGGGTGCAGGCCATGTCAAGCTGCTGTCCCCACCCAAGAAGCTGATATGAGTGAAGGGACCAGCAGAGCCTCAGCCGGCCTGGAAACCAGAGCTGGGACATACTGGCCCCCAGCCTCCCTCACCTGGGAAACAGAGATAGGTGCAGGGGAGTGCTTGGCCAGAGCTGCCCTGAGAACTGGAGTGCAAGGAGTCTTAAGGGAAGGCTCAGGAAAAACAGTCTTTGAGCTATTTACTCACTGCTATGAGTAAGCAGCTACAAAACAGTCCATTGAAGGCAGGCAGGAGTGGACACAAACGCACTGAGGGACGACGTGACACGGAACAGAGGGAGACTCTGACAT